AAAGTTTTGCACTCGTTCCGTTAGACCATGTCCTCAGAAAATGTCTGATATCTGATCTTTCCCCAAACTGCCCTTTGACGTGTGACCTCCAATTTCGCGCTGGTGATGGGATTCCTCCCCATCACACTATACATCGAATATTAAGAGCGTAGATCAAGCCGTTGAGATTTGTGCCGCAATTCCGTATTTCCTCCTATACCTTAAGTTAAGGGGAAAATATTCCCCCTCCATTGACACATCTTGACCTTTGACCCTTGACCCCAAATTCGACATCCCGAGCCTTTTTTGGCAATCCCCCCCCCCCCTATAGTCCCGAATATCAAGACCGTATGTCGCGCGGTTAAGATTTGTGCCCAACTGTTGACAGCCGCACGGACGGACGCACTGACGGATGGACGGACGGACGGACAATCATGCGATTCTACAAGCTGCATTTGACTTCGTCAGATAAGTTAAACACACACACACACACACATATGATATATACATATACAATGTATGTGTATACAATGAAAATATAATACTTTAGTATAATACAACACAGTAAAGTATAATACAATACTTTCTTGACAGATTGCCTGTTCAATCATTGTATAACCGCAACTTAGGGAAGGCCAAAAGTGACACTTGTGAGCAGTTGTTGATTCTACAAAGGTGGCTACTAACACAGATTTGGCTTATTGGTATAGCTGGGCTTGTTTTTATGATTATGATGATGGTATTGTTCATTGGTTAGTAATTATGCTTGAACCTGCATTTAATGTAAATGTGATGGACGTAACATTGACGTGATGTGACATAAGGCTCTGTACGTACAGCACCGAGTTCTGGAGCCATGATAGAGCTGTACATGACTCTGGGATCCCAGTGAGATCCATAGTCGCCTTCCTATAAACAATGTAAACAAGAGACACTCAATGCCAGTGCAACATTTTGATGCTTACAAGGTTGTAAGTTTTTAATAGATACATTATTGCTAATATGTTACACGTTATATCATGAATATATGTGAACATATATATTTAGAATATACAGTAGTTCAAACACTATTCCACTTATTCTACATTAATATTATGCTTATTAGGATTATTATGATATTATTATGCTTATTATATTAGGATTGTGAAAACATCATAACTGTTTATGAGAAAATGTTTTGTGTTCAGTTTAAACAGTGTATAATATTTTTAAAGAGAGACAGGGAGTCACTGGGTTAAATACACCATGGGTTACCAAATTTCAGGTTTCAATTTCCTAAAGTTCAGGTCAATTGTTCAGAATTCTGCAACTTCTTGTACATATGGGCTGATATAATACGAGCTAAAGTGAACGTTTGTACTAATTAAGCACTGACCTTTATCTCCAACGTGCCCCCGTAATCTTCATCATCACAGCTGAAGTGCTCCTGAGCAGCTTTCACGACACCAGGCGTCGCTAGTCGCACCACATCGTTTGCACTGTCAACTTTCACAACCTTGTTCCATGGCTGGCAGTCCTTACCATCAACTAATGCGATGAAACGTGATGCATGTTTGACACATAACCGTGTGTGCTCTGCTAAGATTTGTGCGCAAATCTCACAGATGTACAGCATTGATTGTATATACATATAATGGCCGAATAGAATATTTTCTCCTTGACCCCCCCCCCCTCCTGACCTATTGATACTATCATGAACATATATATGCTAAGGATTACAAAACTGTTATTAAGATAAGTACTACATCTTTACTATGTTCTGCATCTACCTCTAGAGATAAACATAATATATCAATGTTATTATCAACAACTTGAAACAACATTTAAACAAACGTTCTGTTGGAATAGAACATGTTCATATAAATAAATCGCAGCAAAAGGCTGTATGAGAAATGCTAAACGAAGTTTCAACACACCTGTCACTGAACAGTTTTGATAATTACGGAACATGTCCTTTGAAAATCCGAGCGCGTGAAACAGTTCATGGATCGCCGTCTGTAACATGCAAAAGTACAACTACAATGCAATCACGTGTGGGATTCGTTAAGCTGAGAAAGCCATGAAAAAGCACCGTATTTTAAATACACACATGATTCAATGCCTTTATTCATGAGCTCCATGCCATAAATAAATCCCCATACAGTATTATTACAATTATTAATTACTAATTATTATGATAACATTCACATTTTTATCAATTTAATTTTTAATTTTTTAATTTATCAATTCAATTCAATTTAAATTTTTTAATTCAGGTAACTGCATATTGGCATCTAAGCCAGCCAACGCACCAACTCTGCTCTGTCCTTGTTGAAGCTGGAAGGTTTGAGGTGATCTGGGCAGAAGTTCACGAATCCTGCAATCGGTCGGCCATACTGGTCCCGTCGACAGTACACGGCATAGGCTATGATGTGCTGAAACGTAAAGATTGCCAAATTATTTAGTACATTTATAAATTATCTCTGCGTTTTGAACAGCTCTAAACACATAATACCAAAACTGCAAAACTGCAAAACTGCATGTTGGCCTAGGATGTTGAATAATGGTAGTGATACATTGTATAATCATGGTCACAAGTCTCGTGGTTTGATCGAGTTCATTTGTTTATGCTGAAACATATGACAGAGCACAGTTAGTAATGGTAACATAAAGGAAAAGTAAACGCACGTGTGGATGCTCATAACTCTTTGACTTCCCTGCAGAAACCATGCATCAGACGTGTGGTTTCCATGTAAAACTTCTCATCGTAGGGGGAAGAGGCAGAAAAACCCGGTGGTTGAATGTTGATTTGCACCCAGAGCCCACGTGTTGAGCAGCGCGTATGAGCAAGGTAAACACACTGTCAGGCGGCTAATACCAGGCTGCGTTAGAGGAGCAACACCTGCACCTGAAAACCACGATGCTCACGGAAGTTCTCTTAATGGAAGCCCCGCCAAGCTTTATAGCGAAAAAAGCGAGCATAGTTTTCATCTGTGCACGCAGCCTAACCACGCAGATGGTACAAAGTACAAACAGTCATGGAAAGCAGATCACGTTGTGTATGAAAGGTAAAAACAACTTCTAACTCGTGTGCAGACACACACTAGCCATAGCAACAAACGGCACCCAACAGAGGTCATGAGAAAGTCACTCTAAGTTGATGCTCGCTCTTGCTGGTATATATTGCTTGGTAGCCACATCTACACGGCAGTGGAGTTATGAAGGTAGGTATTTACTAGGTAGTTTCGCTTAACAGCTCAAACTGCAGCTTGTGCGAAGCCATGAGAGATAGAAGCAGTAAGTATATCTATCCACTGATGAAGCAAGCACCGCCCGGCATTTAGCAAAAATCGGGAATAAAAATGGCATGGCACGATAACTATAATAAAAACCGATATGGAGGAATAAAATGCATCGCGTTAAGATGGGTAAAGCAAACACGTGTGAAGACGGTATTTAACAGTTTATGATTAGGCACACGATAGTTTATTGCCCCTTATAAACACTAGTTCAAAAAGGAAGTTCGAGCCAGCTTCGCACACAGACAAAAAAGAGAGCTTTGAGTATCACTACTCAAAATGACCGACACAGGATCCAAGAGGTTTAAAACAAGATACGGGTATGTGTATATGGAATGTCTCACATGGCTGACAAGTGAACATGTTTATTATATGGGTGCGCCGGTAACATCCAGGCACCATGTGCACTTGACAAGTTGTAAAATGCTCAAACAAACCCAACTCATATCTAAATCAGTAACTGAGCTCTAGATGAAGTAATCATTTATAATTACTTGCATGGCGCCTTCGAGAAAACAATAGTTTACTTGATGATATTGCAGTGATTTCTCAACGGTTTTTAATAGACTACATTTTAATTCAAATATTCATTCATCGATAACAAATACAGCATTCAACGAACAAACTTGAAGATCCGTCAAACACACCAGCCTTCGTTTTTTCAATCAATCAGATCATCATAATCGAAGCCATGGTTATTTAATCACCTTCGTTGTGCACGTAGGGGTCATGCTGGAGTAGATGTAGAGGATGAAGTCTGAATCTTGCACTCCGGATCCACGTGCAAACACTCTCTCCAGTGGCGCCCCCCACGTACGGTTGTAAATGTACAGCTCCTCTAGGTGATTCTCAGGAATCTGACAACCGAAGAAATGATGAATTATTGTTACACGTAATTCCTTGCATCATACTGCAAAACAGCATCGAATAGCAGAGTAACCAGGTATTACCACAGAATATTAACAGTTTTCGAAAAAGCTACAATAACACCAATAGGTAAATACATGTCTCAGGATATTGTCAAGAGCCCATATAAGCAAATGTTATGCACTCTAGAATTCGCCGACTTCTCATCTTCTTAGGCCTTCTTAGGCTGCCATATGCCAAGCAACCCTCCTTCAATTGAATGGTTAAATGATTGGTAACTGGCATGCATTCTTGGTTGCAAGGATATAGATCTATATAAAGGTTAAAGTTTCTATCCTTACAGACCATGAAACGTTGTGTAATTACCTCCGCCAAGGGGTTGGCAGGAGGTTAAGTTTTCACCGGCGTGTGTTTGTTGGTTTGTGGGTTTGTGTACAGCCTAACTGAAAAAGTTATGGACGGATTGTCATAAAATTTTCAGGATAGGTCACAAATGGGCTAACTTAGAATTGATGAGATTTTGGTGGTGATCGGGATCCAATTAATTAATAAAATTTTTCACAGTGAGAGAATTGAGCTGCCTTGGAGGTCTGTGCTCTCCGAGTGCTCTAGTTCCACATATTATCGACTTGTATCATAAAATAACTGCATTCTCAGCATCACACTTCCTTCACAACTGTGCACAATGCATCTAGAGCAGGCGACTTAGTATTTACAAGAAGGTAAAGTTATAATTGAATATATATATATATATATACTACAGTTGATCTATGTGCAGTATAGTTGAATGTAATATTTTTAACAAAAATGAAGATTTTTAGCCATTTTTAAAACCTGTTTTAGCATCACACACATTTAGTTCAAAGGACTAGGATACGAGGATCTAGCTTTACGTGCTTGAGATGTGATTTGAGTTATTCACCCTAAAGTCATCGACGTCCCTGGCGCACTTCTCGCCCTTGTAGACCGGCGTCTTCAGCCCACACTTGAGCTTATTCGGTCCACTCATAAACACCGACCGACAAGAGTCTTCCCTGCTCAACACCAGGGGGCCTCGCACGGGAACAACTGCAGAAAGATAAGACGATAGATGAGACAGTGGATGTCTGTGCTGCTATCAGTATGAATATAGGATTCATGCAGCAGGACATAATAAATATCATTACGGCTTCGATGTTGGTCGACTGATATTAGACAATAAAATTCACAACAGTATAACAAATTCCTTTCAAAATAACTTACACTGACATTTGGCAATACTGTGTGAACCGACATGGTTTTTTTTACAAGGCTCATTAACACCTAATAACAATGCAATGTTGGAAGACATGGTAGACTATTAACAGTAACAAGAGCAGAATGAGAGAAATGGCGGGATATAGACACGGTGGAAGCAGCTGACAGTATATCCCAGCTGACCAAAGCAAGGTGGACATACTGAGGATAAAGCTACCACGACTTGATGCGAAAATTCAGAGACAACTGTACCACCAACCAGAAGCAATTTCGAACAACCAACCAATAATATTTAGCCTTTATATATAATAACTAATTTATTATATGAATATAAACAAATAAATGAATATAAATATATTTATTTATTTATTTATTTATTATAGGCCTAGTACATCTATTATAATATTATGGTGCAGATTTCAACATGACTGCCCTAAAAAAAAATTGCTGTTTCCTAAAGAAACTCGTCTGCAGACGATTTTATTAGTGCACACAGATGTTGTCACCATGCATGCATGCAGAGTATGCTGAAGCTGAACCAACGTTTTACAGTCGGGTCGTTGTCCACGACCACGTGCCTCCGCGCACGAGACGACAAAGAAAACGTACTCGCAGGAGGTCAGTCAGTAAAGCTGAGAGGGTCTATGTCCCCCATGCAGGGTACTGCCGTAACGTACCCTGGGTACGGTCCGGTATACCGGAACGTACGATGGTACTATCTAATATGCCGGGCCGTACCTCGCCTACTCCACTAACGAGTCTAGGGAGTCGCCTACGTCTACTCCCTAACCCTAACCCTAACCCTAACCATATCAGATAGTTACCAGGAGTACCCTGGAGGACATAGACCCTAGGAGCGTCAGTAAATCACACCTAGTTCGCATGATTCTAATATTTCGGGTAAAATTCGCTTCACACGCTGGTATACGCACGTGAGTACAAGGAAAACGCACGCGTATGAAATTACTTAATAAAATCTCGCCACGTTCGCATGATTCTAATGTTTCGGGCAAAATACGTTTCACATGCTATCACGCACGTGAATGGAAGGAAAACGCACTCCAATTACGAAATTACTCCATAAAATCTCGCCACGTTTGCATGATTCTAATGTTTCGGGAAAAATACGTTTCACGAGCTATCACGCACGTGAATGGGAGGAAAACGCACTCCAATTACGAAATTACTCAATGAAATTTCGCCTTGCTCGCATGTATCTCATGTTTCTGTAAAAATACGTTTCACGAGCTATCACGCACGTGAATGGGAGGAAAACGCACTCCAATTACGAAATTACTCAATGAAATTTCGCCTTGCTCGCATGTATCTCATGTTTCTGTAAAAGAAATTA